GGGTGGGCGAAAATTGCACGGCAACACTGCTACTGTCCAACGTTTTTTTTCTTGCTGGTGCCCCGATCTGCCGTTTCGTTGCGCAACCACTCGAGACAAGGAAAATCAACACCATGGGCAGGATGGCACAAAACCCTTTTGAGGCGTGGGATAGCTCAGAAAAGGCGTTCCTGTACCCATACAAGCGGAGAAAGGCACTAAGATGATCGTGCAAGCTCGTTCTGTGGCAAGAAGAAAAATCAAAGGGGTGGGCGGCCTGAATCGATCCTTGCTTTCGGAGATCACCTTCACTATTTATCATTCTTGAGTCCTCCAAAATGCCGTAGTCGGTGCCCCGTTTCTCCGCGCTGCATCCTCGTTGTCGAGCTCTGCTTTCGCGCCAGCTGCGTCCGTTGCTCTCGGGAAGGCCTTTCCTCTACCAGCCGTCTACTCGGTCACGCGCGGAAGATCCCATTTTTTGAAGTTCTTCCGGCTGCATGAGGTGCGATCGCCCCCTGCAGCGGCATTTTCGCCTTGATGACGGGAAACACAAAAAGTGGCAACGTTGCGGGACGCTCAGTCAAATATTGTAGCATTCGCACCTCAGAAATTGTCGGGTGCGTGCGAAGAGAGCGGTAGGTCTATCAATGTAGGTGAAAACGTACTACAAGTACAGAAGAATTTTTTCTCGTGTCGTGGTCACGCATGTTTGGTCTCGACAACAGTCGCAGGGGTGATGGGGCGTATTCTGACGAATACGTTGTACTGCTGTACGAATCAATCCACATTCTGTCTCACAAGGACTGCACGCTGGCAGAATAGCTGCTGCTGTGGACGAACACGCCACAACGCAGAGTCCAAAAATATGCTGTACATTAGTGTACATGGTACAAATTCATGTCACACAAAAAAAACAAACGATTTACCACTGCTGCTGCCGACTTGACTGACGGATTACAGCAGGTTTCGGCGATACAGCAGTAGTTTCGGGGACACACCAGTGGTACTCTCGGCATGTATGCGCCCATGTACAAACTACATATAGAGGCAGACTGTAGTTGTACGCAGTGGGTAACATCAGCACCGTCCGTGGCACCAGCATGCTTCGAAATGTATGCTACAGAGTCGGAGTGATCCTGATACAAGAATAGGGACGCACGCATACATGCGGTATCAATTTTTGAATCATGAATACCACCCGACACATGCTTCGACTTGCAGTGCGAGACGAAGAGTTGGGGTGGTATTGCGGGTATTGCGGGTGCGAGCGAGTGCGGCGAGACGAGAGAAAGACAGCGACACACGCACACACCAGGCGGACACACCAGGCGGACACGTAGTATGTAGACAGATGGCGAGAGAGAAAAAACAAGCTTCTCACACATCTGCTGCTGCAACCTCGAGGCCCGAGACATGATGGCTTCTCCTTTCAACAACCTGGCTGACGCTATCCAGCAAGTAGGGCATACTCTCGGCATCTTGCTGCTTCGCGCTTGCTCGCCTTGGCCTGAAGTTGTTGCCTGGCGGCCTGCCGAGCAGGGAAACCGAATGCGGCTGGACCTACAGCAGCGCCGTTAACCGCCCTGTTTGCTGAATCCTGCCGGAATTTGCCCTTGGTCACCACTACCCCTCTCTATGTTGGGCCCCACCATCGTGTCGCGCGTGTGGGGCCGTTGTCTGTGGCGTGCGTGGTGTGTTTGAAGGGGCATGCCCACTCGCCATCACATGCGGCGAGATTGATTTGGAAAGTTGCCTTGCAGCGAGTAAATGTTGGTTCGGAAACTTTGGAACAAAAATTTGGAATCCTATAATTTTGAAATCAAACGCAAGAGCACCAGAAATTGCACAACAGACACACCACACCAGTAGGAAGGCAGCGCGAAAAACAGAAATCGTTGATTCTCGTACAAGGCGGCAGTAGAGGCTGCTCGAAACATACATTTCACGCGCCTACCCCCACGTGCCTCCTTTGAAATCAACATAAAAAATCACACGATTCTAAATTCTAGTCAAAGAGCCAAAACGGAAGGCGCTCAAACAAGGTCAATTTTGAGTGTTGCATTCTATTGTCATCAATCAGTAGAGGACATCATGAAGATGCGTCGTGCGGGCTGGCACGTTCAGGTTTGCTACACTGGAGCTGAAATATCGAAATATCGAAGGTCGCAGCAGCCTCTGAAAACAGTCCGAAATCTGCGCGCCGGAACCAAGCGGCGGAGAGCCTTGGTTACACATTGATTGATTGATAGCTAGACTAACACTCTTGAGTAAATTTAGTGTTTACACATTATTGATAGTAGATCTTTAGGACTAACGCGTTCTGATTGGTCGGGCGTTGTTCGGCGTTGGTTCTGGCGGCCGATTCCTCTCCAGGGCCCTCTCCCCGTTCCGCATTCGGAGCACGCGGCGCAGCCTAGTGCCGCCCAGTTCGCGGCCGCTAGGCCGTGCTCGCGTGAAGAACCTAGCCTTGCTACGTTCAACATCGGTTAGTCCTAAAGAGTTACATATACTCTTTACTCTTTAATGCGGAACGGGGAGAGGGCGCTGGAGAGGAATCGGCCACCAGAACCAACGCCGAACAACGCCCGACCAATCAGAACGCGTTAGTCCTAAAGATCTACTATCAATGTGTAAACACTACTCCCTCTTCATGGTGCCCTCTACTGATGACAATAGAATGCGCCACCTAACCCTGGCGGGAAGGAAGGTTGTTTTCTTTCTTTGTATAGGATTTAAAGTATGGGGAAAAGAGCCAGCGTCACAACCCCTTTTCTGCACCCCCTTACGAAGAGCAATTTTGATGTTGAATTTTGAAAACAAACATAGAGGTCCAGAAATTGTACGTACAACAGACACACAAGACCAGTCGGGAGGCATCGCGAAAAACAGAAATCGTTGATTCTCGCACAGGGCGGCAGTAGTAGAGGCTCCTCGAAACATACATTTCACGCGTCTACCTCCACAGGCAGGCGTCCTTCGATATCACGATAAACATTCACACAATAAATAATTCTAAATTCTAGTCAAAGGAGAGCCAAAACGGAAGGCGCTCAAATAAGGCCAGTGTTGAGGGTTAGGTTAGGCACTCTATTGTCAACAGTAGAGGATATCATGAAGAGGCGTCGTGCGTGCTGGCATGTTCAGGTTTGCTACTGGAGCGGAAATAATATCGAAGGTCGCAGCAGCCGTTGAAAACAGTCCGAAATCTGCGCCGGACGAACCAAGCGGCATCCAACATTTGTCACAGCCATGCTCGCCGTCACCGAACCCAATCTCCTGAACTACGGGTTCACAGCAGTAGCTAATGCCGTTCAGAGGTTTACGGTCCGTGGCGCTGAGCATGGCTGTGACAATAACTGTTGGATGCCGCTTGGTTCGGCGCAGATTGCGGACTGTTTTCAGAGGCGGCTGCGACCTTCGATATTCATTTATTTCCGTTCCAGTAGCAAACCTGAACGTGCCAGCACGCATGACGCCTCTTCATGGTGTCCTCTACTAGTGACAATAGAACGCCTAACTTAATCCTGGCGGGAAGGTTGTTTTCATTCTTTTTAAAGGATTAAAGCGTGGGAAAGAGCCAGCGTCAAAACCCCTGTTCTTCCCCCCCTACCTTGATTTACCCTTTGTTATTCCCGCAAATAGAAGTCCGCCCGCTGTCCTTGTGCCCACGTCTGTCGCGGCCTCTCCGTTCTCCGCTTTCTTTGCCTATCCCCAAAGCACGGATTGAATATTCTACCCCATGTTTGCTTAATCAATTTTGCTGCGTAGACTACCGGGCTTTCTTGCCTATATTGTTTTGTCATGAGGCTGAGTGATTGATGCGAGGACTCGAACAGAGGTAAGCCCAACCAGAATCCAGCATGTGTCACTTAATTTCCACAGCTGTAAGGATTGATTATGTCTAATCACACAGCCCAGGTAGTAGGAGGTCCATGGCAACGTTCCTCTTGGGGCGGCATCACTGAAAAGTCTCATCTCGGGTAGATCTGCGGTTGCGGGGCCCGGAATAGATACTGTAGGTGTTGATGGTTGATGGCTCTCAAATATAGAAGAAGACTAAATATTTATCCAAAAGAAAGAAAGAAAATAAACCTTCCCGCCGGAAACCTGGTACTTACTGTAGTACGGTAACATCAGCAGAGGACACGATCAAGAGGCGTCCTGCGTGATGGCACGTTCAGGTTTGCCACATCAGTAATGGAGCTGAAATACCGAACGTCGCAGAAGCCATCTCTAAAAACACTCCGAAACCTGCGCCGAAACCAAGCGGCATCCAACATTTGTTCAGTCTCTGTTCTCTTTAACCGTAGCCAACACGGTAAAAGAGAACATTCTCTTTTGGCTAAAACGGTGGTAGAGAAAGCCTACTTTGAGAGAAAAATCGAGGGGTTTGTCACGCCCCTCGTGACCCTTGGCTGCTACTGTACCCGGTTCTCAACCGCTGATTGATCTCGAGGTACGCATCTTACGACTGTAGGTCCTACAACATTCACCCGCCCATACAGCATATCTTAGGCTAAAGGCAAAAATACTATAACAGCCCAACGCATACGAAGATGCTCGAATGAGACGAGGGAGAAGCAGCAACCCATCTGGAGGTACAGAACTACAGGTAGTGTCAAGGGGAGCCTATCCTCACTGCTTGCAGCTCACGGTAGAAGTGCCTGGGCTTCTTGTACGGCAAGAGAAAACCGCGCAAGCAAATAGACATGATACGGTGACTCGTCAATGAAAACTGACCATGTGTCGTACTTTGGCATATCCAACACCACCCCAACCTTAATCTCTCACAGTATCATTGATTCACCACGGTGCACACCGCCGAATCTACATCTGTCTGCAGTGTACTGTGGTACACCCACGTGCGCCGCGGTGCACTCTTCTTGTGTGTGCGTATGACAGGACAAGAAACTGGGAGATGCAGCTCCGGCTGCTTGCCTTGTGCATAGACGCTGAAGTTCTTGGTCAGATCGGGGACTGTTCTTGCTACATTGTGTCGAAATGACTCCGACTTGGACGTCTCAAGGACTGTCTTGGTGGTGGAATGAGTAGGTGTAGAACATTCCTCGTAGCTTCTCGAGGGCCTGGGGGTGACCAAAAGGCAACGGACGCGCAATAGAGCATAGCAGAGACGGGTTCTTTGTCCGAGTGGCGCTAGGGAGAACGCGTTTTCCTAAATCCAACGTCGCAACACCAACCGTCCAAGTCGGCTGACCACGGTAGGTGTCAACTGTACCTTGACAGCCCCTACGCTCGCGAACGTCAGCGCCACCGCGGGAAGCATGGCCCTTGCCGTCACGGCGTTTATGACCGGGGCCGACGGCGATCCCGCCGCCGCCGCGGTGCCCACAGCGCGCGCCCCTCGCAGGACGGCCTGCATTGCACATATCGTATTGGTTAGTCGTCAAACGGTTTCGTTACTAGGGAAAGGTCGTGCACAAGTTATCGCACGAGGGGCAAATGAGCGAACAAGTTATCGCACGAGGGGCAAACGAGCGAAAAGGGAATTGGGCGAAGAGAAGCACCGATGACGATGTGAACTGATGCAGCACACTGTACGCGCGTGACGAGATGTCATTGCACGGTATGTAAGCCCGCGGTGGGCTCGGGGATTGACACGCGTACACCATAAAGACCCGCCTCGTGCTCCACTACCCCGAATCCCCGAGCTCGTACGGACTAGCTTGTATCTAAACGCTCACGGGGGACCCTACAAAAGAGCAGGCTCTGCGCACGGGGATACGCCATGTTTCTTCTTGGAGACAAGCACCTCTCTCGGCTCGAAGTTTGCATGACGCGTCAACTCGGTGGAGTCAAAGGCGAAACAGGTGACGGTTTAACACAAAACACAAAAGGAGTTCGTTGTTCTTGCGTTCGTGGCGAGGAAGACAAGCAGGAAGAAACAAGTACGGAAGAACAAACTTGGCCAAACCAAGAAGTACCAACATCTGCAGAGCGGGCTCTTCTTTACAAATGATACCGCCGTTCGTTAAAATATAGCAGACGGCCTCGCTTAACGAAACACGAAATGGAAGGTGAATGGCGAACCAAGGATAGTACTGTGATTCGCGCATATTTACCACTACTCGGTTGACGATGAAGACGAGAGACATGTCGATGCGGACGGACATCTCCGTGGACAAACATGTAGATACGTCCCGTCATAGCAACACTCGACTGGACGGGATAACTCACCCCTACTACCCCAAGCCCGCGTATGCATATTGCTCACCCAAGTGAAGGAGATGACGGCGGCCGTCTTGGCTGTCGTCAGCATCTTCTTAACATTCTTGAGCGCCCCCTGACAGCTAGTGCAGCTCTTCGTGTGGTTCTGCATAATCACGCACGCCGCCCGTGCCCAGGCGGAGCGGTCGCCACCACGGTTTGCAGCAACACCAGGTCGAGACACACAAGTGTACAACAGTAAACAACGGCAGACGGGAAATGAGATTCGAATCGGGACAATCCAGGATACGGCAGACAACAAATCCGAACAGAACTTCATTCAAGCTGCAAGAAACGACGGCGCGACCTGTCTGCGTCGAACACATCCCGTCAAGGAGAGATGCCAACAGGACGAGGTTAGGGAAAAATGTTGTTCAAGAGTCGCGGACTCGATCGTTCTGCGGGTAAGTGGCGCGGTCCCTCCGATGGCGTATAGAGAAAAACGATGCGGCTTAGGGTTGCGTCACCTCGTACACGTTGAAGAGGGCTTCGCGGTTGCGCTCGCGCGGGGGCAAGGTGCGGTCGCAGTTCTTGTCCCAGGCGGGGCCCCCGGACCCGTGCTTGGTGATCCACTGTCTCCTTGAGGTGTTGCAAGGTGGGTGACGAAGAAGACAGTTCGCCGGCCCACCACAACACATTCGCCGCAACGACAAGCACAACAGAAGAAATGGGGTGTCAGCCCTCGCCAGGGTAGGCCCACCGATAAGCGAGACCGAAAAGCACGGCAATGTTCGTCTTGACCCGCAGTTCAATACCACAATTGTGCTGGCTGAAACCCCAATTTGCAATTGGGGAAGGGGTAAATCGTAAATAACCGAGGACAGAGATGACGTAAATGCAATCCACCATTCGAGAACCCAATGACCTACACGGCCGCGAACGCTTAGCGCAGACCGTCCGCCTAGGGCGCGCTCTCGTGGCAATATCCGCCCACCCCTCGAAAAATCTAAGTGCTCTCTCACAGGGCCAGGACGGCACGGTCGGCAGCCGCAGGAACGAAGACTGCTTGGCCATAGTTGGAGCTGTCGCACCCAGCAGAGGCCAAGATTTTCTCCTGCGCAAAACGGAAATGCGAGAGAAAACCGAGCGGGTGCCGCGCGTACGGCATGGTTAAACCAAGGAGAAGTGTCATTTTGCCCCACCGTAAGCGAATCAATACTTTGTTGACCCTGCCGTACTTCTGCTTCCCACAGGATGCGTCTATTAGCTAAACGACGCTACGACGCGTCCAAAATGTACGTGAGGAGAAAATGTATTCAATGCAAACGCGTGTGAGACAGCATGGAAGGAGTACGTCAATCGAAAGCTACACTTACCGCTGTGCAGAGAAGGTTGACACTCAGAGGGGGAGACAAACAAATAAACGGACACAACCAACAAACGGATTTTTACACTCAGAAAAGAGGCAACAGGCAAGAAGCTGGTAGTCACTCTATGAAAACCCATGTAAGTATCATTCGTGTCACGTGTGCACCAACTGCCTACCTGGTAGTGAAGGAAAACCAAGTCTTGGTGCAGAAACAGGCTGCCAGTGACGTGCTGCAACCAGGATGGCAGCTTCGTCACAACACTTCACCATGTCGCCGTGGTGTGAAAAAACGACGGAGGGACAACGAGCGGAGACGGTCTAATGTTTGGTCTTTCTACATCGACGAAGGATTTGGAGAAGTCGATCTACCGGCGGGAGATACGCCCGACGAGCACGCACATAGGTAACACATCTGGAAGTGCTCCAAACTTTCGAATTGACTGCTGTGCTGTGGTCTGGCGGTGTATACTTCAGAGTCCACTCGTCCCCTGGCCAAACCTGCGCTCTTGCAATAAATAATTGACTATGCACACAGCAGTAGGTATCCCGATATAGTGCCGGTTGAATAGTGCCAAAGTCTGGCATAGTGCCGGTAATTTTTCTTGACACAGCCAAGGGCCTCAACCGGCACTATTGAGGGATACCACAATAGTGCCGGTTCAGGCACTGTCGTAGCCCTCAATAGTGCCGGTCCAGACCACACACAGCCTTTCTTGGCCTCAAGGCCTACCACACCAGCAGGATTCGGAGACGATCTGCCTTCCAGCTAGCTCGTTCTCTGTCTATACAAACTCGTGACGAGTTCAAAAGTCATGGTTCACTGATCAACCAAACTCCACCACAGCCAATCAGCCAACAGTTTGGGATCTCAGTATTTAGAAGTAGGGCGAGGAGGATGTCGGCAGTGACGAAGGAGGTGGGAAGAGAAGGACAGAGAAGTGAAGCAGTGATGATGGCAGGAGGAAAATATGGCGTTGAAGGCCGCAAGAGTTTCGAGCCAGATGACATTCCTCACAAAAAACGCCGTAGGATAGAGATGAACGCCCAAAGTGGAAACGTTAGTGAAGAGAGTAAAGGTGGAAAATACAAGGAAAACGGTGAAAGCGCTCCGAACGAACGTGTGCAAAGTAGCAGCCTTGGTAGACACGTGGAATAATCTGCTGTTGCTACAGTTTTTCTGTCTTCAATCTGGAAAACTGCTTAGCCTCCCTCATGGCACCCTCTCACGGGGTCTCAGATCATGGCTTGAGAAATGTTGTATCTTCTGTTTTAAACCTCACTGAGACTGTTGTATTTTCCTTGTTCAGCCGGTAAGCGCGGTCGATGGTAAGACACACACACAGAGACACAGATGCATATACACGCCTCACTCCACTGGTAGCGGTGCACGTGCTGCTGCTGAAGACTCTATGCGAATCAGCCCTACGCAGACCGCCAGGGGGTAGATCAGCATAGCTGTGGGGGTTTCATGGCGCTTGTTTAAGCGGTCGTTTCTCTTGCTTCTGAAGGATTGCTTTATCTTCACTCGTTTGGGTTGCATTTTTTTTTTTTTTTTAGGATGTCTACGTCCATGTCGGACTTCAACTGTCCGTGCATCGGGTGCGCGCATGAGCGTCCTTCTTTCGCTGTTGACGGGTGCCTTTGAGGTTGCCTGCCACTACACCATTAAATACCGAGGTGTAGTTTGAATAGGCAGCACGGTCTACGGTTCGAAGGCAGCGGCAACGGTTCAAAAACTAAATTCGTGCCCTGAGGTGGGAAGGGAACAACGGTGCAACAAGTAACGCATCTGGCCAAGAAATCAACAATGTGATCACTGCATGTTTTCGACAGGCTAGGAGCCTCACGAGACTTAGAAAAGCCCACCCACGCCGCCCACCTCACAATTGATCCATATACCGTTCGTTTGGCGCTCTGTCAGCCCCGCAAGCAAAGAGATGCACTCTGAAATCGATTACTTGTCAATAGTGCCTACTATTATAATAGTGAGGGATTTTGAGACCCTGAACAGTGCCGCCTTGGAACTATTCAGGCAAATACTCTGAATAGTGCCGGTGGCCGGTTGGTGCGGGTCTAACGTCCGGCACTATATCGGGACACCTACAATGTACTGTAGCTGGTTCCCATGTTGATGCACACAAAAAATATTCATGCCGCACACAAGAGATGTCAACTTACTTCGCGGTAGCTTGCAACCGTGATTTGTTCACCCCGTTTCTCTTGTCCTCCTTGGCCTGCACCTTAGCCTCTTTCGAATTCGGGGCAAACGTGTGCACATAAGCCTGTCCGCGAAGAACGGAGGACGAAGGCGAGAACGGGCGGATGACAACAGGAAGGGCGTTGTTCTTGTCAGGACGGCGTGGTCCACGGGAGACGGGGACTGCTGTCTTCTTTTGGAGCGCGCCACACACCGACGGGGTGCCGAGTGGAGCGTCGGCGAGGCGACAGGAAGGTTGTTCAGGGGTCAAGAGGGGTGAAAGCGAGGAGAAACAGATGTCGACTTACCGCCAAATCGGCACGAAAAGTCACGTGTTGTGAGAGACATTTGTTCACGAAAGAGCAGGTGGTTCCGTAAGAGAGGTGTTCGCGAAAAGGACCAGGCCCATGTCTCGCTAGAGAGGCTTTCGCCGGTAGACCCATACAAGCTTGACGCATGTATCGAGATGACTAGCATGGGCGCCACATATTCATGGTCAAGGCCGCTCCACGCGCACCATGCAATCAACGTGCATTCCGAGGCTGATTCACAAACACAACCCAAAATACAAAGTGTTGTAGGCAGGCATAGAGGACACAAATGTTTGTTGTTGGTACGCATCAGTACCCTCTCACCGAACGGCCGAGAAGCCGGACCCAGCCGGGTCTAGTGGGTGTACCGTATATGATGAGCAGGAGCTTTCCCGCCGAGTCTTTGGCTTCATTGATAACCTGGTGGCAAAGGATACAAAGTGGTTCAGCATGTAGTGCACACAAATGGGGGCGAAATGCCAAAGTGCACATTGAAATGTGTGGCATGGGAGCATAACAGCATGCCACGCTCCGCCACTCCGGGCACGACGGAGGTGCACGTAGAAATGAAGATGCAATGCACGCTTCGTGATTTCCGTTTCTCGCCGTTGATCTTTACGCATGTTGGAGGAAAGGGGTGGAATTGGCGACAGCTCAGCCAATACTGGAAACTATGCGTTCAAGCGGGATACATCGAGAAATCGACCGATCAAGACGGGAAGAGAGCTCTACCGGCTGGACGGTAAGGCAGTCGCTCGAAAAACAACCGATACCCCACCAGCACCAGAATTCAACACACAGAGCTAAGCACGTCTACCACTACTTTCCAGCACACCATGTTCAAAAAAAGACCATCAAGTAGCTCAGACCTCTGCTGGACGACAAAGTTCTCGACCACTTGCCTGTCACGTCCTATTGCAGGTTGAAACGCCGCAGAGATAGCGTTCATGAAACCAATCTGATCAAGCAATTCCGAGACAGACATGACGGTTGGCTTTGTCCTCTCATCTCACCAGGCACGGTGGCTGGAAGGTGACCGTGCTGTCCGCCGGCAACGAGTCGTCGCGAAACTCGAACTCAAATCCATCCTGGGCCCGGCACGTGTGGACGACGTTTAGCGTGACACGTATGCATAGGTGGGGGTGGGTGGGTGGTGTGGGTGGGTGCGCGAAGAGGTGATCACGAGTGAACACGACCTGCGAACTGTAGGGATGGAGCGGGAGAAGGCAACAAGCACCAAGGAATTGGATAGGCTCCACACACGCACCGGCGGGGGAGGTGAGAGTGAATGGAGCATTAGATAGGAAAGGGAAAATAGGGCCACTATATTGGGCAACGTTGTCGGGAACAGAACAACCCCCCCGCTGGCGCGAGCATATTTCTGCTTTCGTTCTCGAACCGGATCGGGTAAGTGAACTACCAGCACGCGTCACCGGCTAGCGCACACATGCACCCGAGATGATTGTTTCAGGCCCAACCTGACAACGTCCGCTTGCTCAGGATAGGGAAAAACATGGAAACCTCGAAAAAGGGTGCACCACATCGTAGTTGCGACCACGGCCCCACGCCGCGATCACACCTGCCTGCAGCTAAACTATCGTGGGCGACACCAACCGGAGGAACATGTGTGCGGGAAAATTTTGTCTTTGATGGCAGTAACCTAAAAACCCTCTGAGAACTCTCGCAGGATCTCGTTCGAGCTGCGAGTCGGTCATGCAGAGAATCAGAGAGAGCAATGAAAAAATGCACGACAGATATCCTGGGGTTTCCAACTATTCCGACTCCCGAAAACAGTAAATTGCCAGAGAAGTACGCGGTCATTCCAGCGGAGTTTGGTTCCGCGGATGGACGGCAACGTGCTTGTACAAGAAGCATCGGGGACGGGATTGTACCAATGCATTCACGCAGATCGAGAACGGGTAAAGGCTACCTGCTTGGGATGAATGCACGGCCAGATCGCGCTTCAGAAGTTCCATTCAACATGACCCGCCAAAAATTGTGGATGAAACTCCTACGTGACAGACGCACTCAAAACAACCTCGCATGTCTTTGGTAGGTGCTAGTGAGGGGAATTAGCTTTCCACCGCGTGTTGTTGTTTCTCAGCCGATGCTGCGAACGAATTGAGCACGAACTCAAGATCAGCTGAACTGACCTTCGTGGGCACTGGCCAACGTGCCGAAGGCTTCAAGTCGATCGGCGAGGGCCCCGTGTAGCGGTCGCCAGCGATACCTGCGGAGTGAGCACGAGGCAATTTCCAGGGACAACTAAAAATACAGTTCTCACAAAAAACAACCAGAACCACAACGGCAGTAGCAACAGCAGCAGTAGATACATAGCACCAACAAAAAAAAACGAAATACACACGGGAACAGACAACCTTTCGAGATGAACAGTCGATTGCAGACTTATACAAATAACATGTGTTTTCTCTCTCGTATATTTCTTCAACAGTCCCAACGTCATTGACACGTGCAACCTCGCTTTGACAACACCATCACACACACGACCTGATGCGAAACGCACCGTGGTGGGACACGGTGACGTGTGACGGGTCAACAACGTTCTCCATGAACGTGTCCCAGCCGTACGCCAGGTCGTTTTGCCCGACACTGGCAAGCATTACTCTGCCGGACTCGACTCCCTCCTTATCGTCGAGGTCGGGAATCAGCTGCGCGGGAGTGAGCGCGCTCTCCAGGCCCGCGTCCGGTCCATTCTCTCCCCACACCCAGACCATACCCTGAGCCACCTGACATGAGTTGCACGTGGGTTTCATTATTGGGAGGGGAAGGGGAGCGCGTGAACGGGGAGCCATAGGGCAATGGAAGCTAGTGCGCGCGCCGCACATACCAGGTGCCTAATGAAAAGGTGTCAGTCCATCGAGGGAAAAAGGCACCGCCCCCCGAAGGAGGCAGGTACCGAAACCGAAGAGCGCAAGGAAATGTCCCAGCAACCCGCCGGCGGCGAACATCGAACATGTACGCCGACATTTTCTCATAACCCGGAAAAGTATCTATACCGCAAAAGTAGAATATTTGCTGAGTGTGGCAAGATAGATTGCAATCTTTCAGGAACAAGACACGCTCGTGGTTGTACTCTTTGTCACGCAGCGCTACAGGTCGTGATTCTGAGTTGGGTACACGAATCAGAGTATCGCTTCTCGCCTATGAGGGAGACACCAGCAGTGTTAGCCTTGTTTTCCCTTGATATGTCAAGCACCGGGTCATTGTTGGCTAAAAGGCATGACAGCAGCGGTAAACATGTTGAACCATGTGGTCCGTTTCGGAGACGAGGCACGTATGGTACGAGACAAGCTTAAGAACCATTTTGGTACGAAATTGTACCAAGTGCTACGCAGCTCAGATTCAGAGAATATGCATGTCTGTACCCGCTATTCGGCTGTGTGGTGGCTGCAGGGGTACGGGTCGGCGGTGGTAGTAGAAAAATGAGTCAAACCTCGCCTGTGTGGGGTAGACCTTCGCGCACGCCTTGGGCTGGGCCTCGTCCTTGCCTCCCCTGTCGCTCTGAGGGATGCTCAGGCACTTGCCATCGGCGTCGAAACGCCACGCGTGGTACGCACAACTAAATCCAGCAGGAGCGGCGGGTGGCACGAGTTTGGCGAACGAAGGGCGTACGAAACAGGGGGCTGATCGAAACGTGCCACTGTCGGATGCAACATGGGCAAGGCTGTGTTTTATGCAATTTTTCGGGTTCTAGGCCAACGACCGCGCGAGTTTGAACACGTAGTCTTGTACATCTCTACAGTAGGCACGCGATAGCAAAACGGACTTGTGGTGGGAGGGAAACAGAGGTGGTATCGAAGAGTTTCTCACAAATCCTTGAAACATACGGACGCCGGCTGATCACATTTTTCAAGGGTGTGTTCGGTGAGGTACGTATCGAGGCATACCTCCGGTATAACCGCTGGTACGTACCCTACCGAGGCTCGGTACGATCTGAGCAGGCTTCCATACCTACCGAAAATCTCGGTACGATCTGAATAGAGCTCCAAACCTTACCAAACTCTCGGTACGCTTCGGTAAGTTTTCCATACCCTAACGAGTATACCCTACACACAAAAAGGGGTGCGTTCGAGGGTACGTACTGAGGCATACCACCGGTAAATACCGGCGGGATACGCCCTACCGAGCGTCTCGGTATGCCTGGGTACAGGCTTCACAACCTACCGAAATTATCGGTACCCTTCGGTACAGGCTTCCATACCATACCGAAATCTTGGTACGCTTCGGTAAGTTGTCATATCCTACGAGGGTACCCGTACCCTACCGAACACACCCTTGATATTTTCACTGTCATGGCGGAGGACTTTCAACTCACAGGAGAGAGCCGTCGTCCTCTATTCTGCCCTCGGTGAGTGGTGCCGCTCTGTGAGGGCAGCGGTCATCAAAGCACGACCAGCGCTCCTCCTTGTTCCGCCACACCACCAGGTCTTTGCCGAGCAGCTGTAGCCGCAGCGGCAGCAGTTGTTGAGCGTTTGCACACGTGAAAAGGTGGAGAGGCTCGAAGGCAACGATTGAGGAAGTACCTCGGACTCAAAAGTTTTTTCTATCCATGTGGGAAGTTTGCGTATTTGTGATTCTATGCCCGCTCTGGGTATTTGTGATTCTATGCTCGACCCCTGGCATCGCCTGCAAACCTACGGTACGATTGCTCTACGTCGGTCTGTGGCAAGCGAGAGAACAACTGAAGCGTCGCGGTGACGGAGGAGTTCCGTTCACATCGTGCCTTCGATACCCATGAAAAGAGACGAATGAAAATCGTGAGTGTTTAATCCGGCTGCCACCCGCCCCCCCCGGTGCTCCCCACTCGGTGTTTGCCATCGGGATTGGGTTTTCGTCGCTTGGCAACGACGTTGTAAAACAAGCCAATTCACTTCGTGAACTCGGCAACCAGGTTACCGTTTTTTTTTTTTCCTCGGTTTTTTTTTTGGCGGTAACCATAATGGTGGTCGAGTAGATCATGTTGTGCGGGGTGGAGAAACCTCACTCCGCGCAACGGGGGATGATCGCACCACGTTGTGTTAAAATGGTCAAGCTTCCTCGAGGCAGTTACACAGTGCTTACAACTGTCTCTGGAAGTGAAAGCACCAGAAAATAAATTATGTCATACGTAGCTGTCATCCGTACGCAAGGAAGTAAGCACAAGATGCCGAACACCCTTAGCAGGATGGCAGCTCACCCTTCATGCGACTCGCCGCATACCTCACGGCGCTTCGCGCTTGGTGATGTGAGAGCCTGGTCCGGTGAGAACCCGGCGTGCTCCGTCCCGGCTTTGTAGGGATGCGAGGTCAATGGTCTAACGACTACGGCATGCACGACTATGAGTACACCCCCCCCCCCCCCCCC